CTGAACTCAAGGCCTTGTGCAAGATCTAATTGTGAGCTCAACCGCTGAGTTACAGCCCCAATTCTTGACTCTGGAATAAGTAATAAAAAGAACGGTGGAAATGAATAGCAAGCCCCAGTCTTAGTTGAAGAATTATTGGCAGCTGATTACCACTAGATGAGGAAGAGTGGATCTTCTTGAAGGGAGAGACTCTAGATAGGCTGACTAAGCTCTGCTGGATGAATTTGTACTGAGGGACATCTCAGGACATTAACTTTACATAATAGGCCTTAACACAAATGACAGAATGTATGAACTGCAGTGGGGGGGCTATGGGAAGGTGGCAAAGGGGAAGGGGGGAGTATAAAGATGATTTTATGTATGAAACACACAAAAATTCAATTAAAAATTTCATGAGCACTTACTATGTGCCAACTACTTAAACGTACCTCTAGTTTAAATTTTATGTTTTCCTAATAACTACATATAAAATTAATTCATTTTGTTTTACAGAGGCAAAATTGATAGGTTATCAGTTGCCAAAGACTATTGCAATCTGACCCCACACCTGTGAACTCTAAAACTGAACTGCCTTAACTATTATGATGCATGACTTTTTGCACTTTATTTCTAGCTTTGCTCCTTACCAGCTGTGTGGTCTCCGGCTGATTGCTTGATTTCTCTGAGACCCATCCTCCCCATATATATATCTCCAAATATAAAACAGCTAATGATATATCCACTACTTTATAATCATTTTCCAACTTTCTTCCAGGTCTGTACTTCCATGACTTTTCTAGATAATTCCTAAGAGGTAGTAGGTTGACAGAAGGCTTGGGCTGAGAATGTTCGTCTCACCTATAGATCCCCACACATGTACTCATATCCCCACCAGAAGATTGAGGTCTGAAAATGAAACAGTCTGTGGTCATACTGCCCTGAACAAGTCTAGTGTCATTTGAAAATGAAACATCTTATGGCTCTCGAAACTTTATGGCATTCATAATTACCTTTGGTTTGCTCCATGGTGGGCATCTGGGAGTATTGATGCAGTTCCCACATTCCCCCTAGTGCAAAAAAAGAAACTTTAATATCAATACTATTGGAAACCACATGCCATGTCCCTAGTTAATGCCTGGATGGGCTAATTAAGAACTTAATCTTGGGCTGGGGAGGTGGTTTAATTAAAATGCTTGTTGTTCAAGCATGAGGACTTGAGTTCTGTCCTCAAAACTCACATAAAAAGCTTGGCATGCTGACACAGAAAGACAAGTGTCACAGTTCTCTCTTATGGCTGGATGCTAGCTTTAAATTCTTAGTATCCATGTTTCAATTTGAAAATTAAGAGAGGTCAAGAAATTAATAAATGGCCTGGGATAGGAGAGAATATTCAGGGATATAAAGGAGGAAAGGGGAATAATGGACTAGAAAAGGTTAAAAGAGGTGGAGAATGGGAGGGTAGGGCAGAGGAGAGAGTATGGGGAAGGATAATTAACACTAAAGGCCTTAAGAAAAAGCCATATAGAAATCTACTACTATAGAATCCACTTAAAGTATATACATACAGATTATAAAAAGAGATAAAAGGAGTTATAATAGGGGGACATTGTCCTACTAGATACCATACACTAACAAAGTAAAAACCCAAATGCCAGGAATAGGCTTCCTCTTTTGAAGCTATTGACCAGGGATTCCACAGATCTTCAGACAGTACTAGCTACTGTCCCTGCTCGTGGTTATTCAGCAGAACTTCGTGATGAGACCCTATTGCTGAAGACACTGCATACATGAACTGTAGAACAAATAAGGAGAATTCTGACTTCAAAGCCTCATCTCTACTGTCTAGCTTTCATAATGCTGGAAGGTGCTATGCAGGCTACCTGAAGAGAAAATTTAGCATAACCTTCCCAGCTGTGAATCCTGTGAGCTACAAAAAACTGGCCTGGTAAGATACACCCACTGGTGCAATAGTGGCATGAATGTTATAGGGGTAACCAACTACTTTCTAATTGGATTTAAGATTTACTTCGTAAGATGGAGCCCATACCTGACACTAACATCAGGCCTAGGAACCTGAGGCTAGACAGCCCACATGCCATCAGAGAAAGCCTAATATATCTGTTCTGCTAAAATAGAGTATTAAAGTGATTTCTAATGACTTATTATTATACCTGTAATTTAATGCATCACTCAACTCTCAGCAGAGGAGCACCCTTATACAGCAGATGGTGATTAACGCAGAACCACAGCTGGCTAACATGAAGAGAATAAGAGGTTGCAGACTGCTTATTCCTGTATAGGACACCTTTATCAAACTTCTGCATCCCAAGGCTCAGGGATCATTGTGGAAGAGGGGATAGAAAGATTGTAAGAGCCAGAGGAGGTGAATGACTACAAGAAAACAGAATTTTCCAGACAGCTGGTCAGTCACCCACATGAACTCACAGCAATGGTGACATCATGGACAAGTTCTACATGAGCTTAAGCCAGACAAAATCCCAGCACAGATGTGGGGAAGTGGGTAAGAAATTCTAACCCTATCTATGGTACTATTAGCAATTGATGGCTGCTGGGAAGGGAGATTCAGTCTCATTTAAGGGTAAGACTCTTAGTAAGTTGACCAGACTCTAGTAGATGAGCCCACATTGAAGGGCATTTGGGAACACAAACCTGACTCTGTAGCATATATATACAAAAATTTGGCAGGTAGTAAGGGGGGAGTACAGATACAGAAGGGGACCTAAATAGGATAAAAGTATATTGTATGAAATTCATAAAAATTAGAGGAAAATTTTTTTTAAGTTGGGCATAGTGCTGTGTGCCTATAGTCTCAGTACTGGGGAGGCAGAGACAGGTTGGCTAATGAGGCTCACTGGCTGGCCAGCCTAGCTGAATCAGTGAACCCTAGGTCCCAGTGAAATTCTTAGTATCAAAAAGAATCAAGGTGAACGGCTCGTGAGGAATGGCACCTGAGGTTGACCGCTGGCTTACATACACACACACACACACACACACACACACACACACACACATCTGTGTACACGCACAACTTAATCTTGATTAAGATCTTGCTATGATCAAGACTACACAAACAAACACACTGCAACTTTGTCCTGGGGAATTCTGAAGGTCTGACGTGGACCTCCATTTGAAGAACTCCCTATGGTGCAGAACTGACCCAGGGCAGTGTGATGTGGCTGGCTGTAGTAGTGGGAAAAGTAGATGCAAGTGCATTTTATGTTACCTGTGAGACTTCTGGCCAATCACTTGAGTGTTTTGAACTTTAGCTTTATAAGGTATAGTGTAGGGATAGTAATTCTTGCTGCCATTTGACCTTTAAGGAATTGGCAAAGGAAACTAATCAGCTGAAAAGAAAAAAGTGTGTAGGTATACTTTGGAAATTAAGAAGGTTACAACTACTAAAACAGAAATTGCTTTCATCTCCTACTTTGGCTGATATCTTAAAAATATGGACTATTTATTAAATTGCTTAAGAGATGCCAGGTACTGACATTAACTAGTGACAAACTGCTGTGAGAAGTCACTTCATCCCCTTGAGACTCAGTTTCCACAGTGGAGTTGATGGTGGCTACTCCCATTATTGAACTGCTGTGGGGTCAGATGAGTACTGAGAGGAGCAGCAGGCTCTAAGCTGGTATTCTGACAATGGTGCTGGATGGATGGGTGAATATAAAAGTGCTTTGAGTGGTGGAGGATCCGTGACACAAGTTCATTCAGTGTTATGCAATGAATGAGTGGATATAAACAGAGTAGTATGGGGACATATGTTGGATTGAATCACACTAAGCTGTCATTTTTGTTAACTGTCCATTATGTGAGTTATGTATGATGTCATCCATCAGGAGCTCAAAAGGATGTTTGTTGAATGAATAAGTGGGTGAATGGATTTGAAAATGAATGGTACAACTGAAGACTTACATTTGGTATCTAAGCACTGATTCCTTAGTAATGAGGACTGGATGGATGGATGGATGGATGGTGGCTAAGCAAGAATATTCAAGGCCTGTGTCTGGCTGAGCAGATGTCTGCTGACTGGAAGTTTGAGGAACACCATCATTTGGTCTCTTGGGTCCTGGTCTCATTGTGACCCTCCCTTGGGGCCCATGCTGGATTACAAGGGTTGGTCTCTGGACCAAGGTTCTCTCACTATTGTGGTAATTTTAGGACTGACCAAAACATTGAAGGCAGTAAAAGTGTCACAGCGACCCCCGAGGGTGGGATCCATCAGCAGACAGTCAATGCCATAGGCCACGCCCACGTTAAACAAGAGCCCCCTCTGCACGATCCTGCACATTTGACCATTTAGAAAGAGCTCGCCCTGAAAGAGAGAGAGAGGTGTCAACAGTCCTTCTCAAACTTTTCTTCCCATGACATATAATGTGACCAGCATCTACAAGACTCAGAAAGAACTAAACAAACACACATGTAGGGGCTCCTGCCACCTGTTATGAGTGCCTAGAATGCCAGGGCTTATCAGGTGCTTCACAGCCACTCCCTAAGGCAGTAAGAGAAAAGGAGCTTGCTGATAATGGAAGGGAAAGCAAAAATCAAAATCTTGAATGCCTCTTAAAGTAGAAGTGGCTGGAGAGTGGCTTGCTGTTCGTGCCACTTACCCCCGGCCCACCCCGCCCCTCCGCCACCGACCCATGACACTCACAATGTCACTGCCAGTTCCACACTTCACACTCAGCTCTGAACCTTGTAGGGTCTTCCAGGAAGCAGCTCTAGGGAGATCTGAAGCTAAAGCCTGAGGGGGAGAAGGTGCGATGTTAATACCCTGCATTGGGGCCAAAGAGCTGGAGGAGTTTTGTCAGCAAACCAAATTCAAGCAAAAGATTTCCTATGTGTTATAATAATTCAAGCTTTGAAGCAGCAGTAAATATAATCAAATGTTAAGAATGACCATGGCTTTCTAGGGGCTGGAAGCTCTTCTGGAAGGGGCAGCTCAGTCACTTGGGTATCTGTGCTTAGGCACCCTGAAAGAGGCTGTCTAGGTGAGTGACGCCAATGCAAGAATGAGCAGCATCAGCAGGGATGGCCCAGGGCACCTATGGCTTGAACCGTGCTCCTCCAAAAATTATATGCAAGTCTTGATCCCAAGGACCCTAGAATAGGACCTTATTTGGAAGCAGTGTCCCTTTAAACATAGGTAAGATGAAGTAATCTTGGAGTGTGGTGGGCTTTTAATACATAGCATGGAGGATGTCCTTAGAAGAGAATACCTCAGGAGGACACTGAGACACAGGGAGAAGACGACTGTGGGAAGATGGAGGCAGCCAGGGGATGCCAGAGACTGCCAGAAACCACTGGCTGCCAGAGGAGACACAGATAGTCACTTCTTTAAAACCCCTAGAAGAAGTGACTTTGCTGCTATCTTGATTGCAAAAGTCTAGCCTTTACTGCCGTGAGGGAATGAGTTCAGTTGTTGTAAGCTACTTAATCTGTGGTCATCTGTTATACAGCTTCAGGAAGCTGACCAGGCACTACGACTGAACTGAAGTTAGGGTACTGGCACCTTGGAGTGGATAGCCTCAGTACAGAGTGATAGGAGCCCTGACTGAGGTCTCAGAATGGCTACCGTGTTCCTATAAGCATTGGCTTGTCCAGGACAGGTGACTGGTTCAGGGGGCCAACAGCTGATTGCATCAAGAGTCATCAGTCATGTGATTGGGAACTTTGGCATCAGGAGAGCTAGAGACCATCTGGAAAAGCTTGGGACCTGCTGCCATTCTGTCATGTGAAATGGGAAAGAGAAAAGGCTATTGTGACATTGAAGAGAGGATGGATGCACTTGGACACTGGGTACTGGGTGTCTAAAAAACAACCAGGTCTGGTGTGCTGCAGTGTGCAAGCAAGCATGGCAGTCAGAAGAATACACAGTGGGGTGGAAGAGGTGAAGCCTCCCTCCTTCCCAGAGGGCTCATGGAGACACGTGGGCAACTGCTGGGGCCCTGGGCCTCAGTGTATTATCATCCCCTAGGGCATTTCAACAAAATACCATGGCGTCGCGGATCACATGGAACTTCAGGTACTCTTTTAGCTTGTCTTTGTTGTCCTGGTTGAACAGGAAGTCCTGTTGTTCCTGGGGTAGGGCTTGGAGGGCTTGATCCGTGGGCCAGAAAAGAGTGACTGGAGTATGGATGGCATCTGTGATGACACTCAGCAAACCTGAGTCCTGAAACACAGGGGTCATTCCCTAGTTGGTGTGTGCATGTGTGTGCTACGAGGCCCACTGTACAAGGCCCCACCCGTGGGCAGTGGGCCTCTTTGAGCAGGATGCCCAGTCCTGTGGCTTGTCAGGATTTCTGATGGTTCCAGAGTGATACAGCCAGAAGCTAGAGCACTGTACCCAACCATCCTGACCCACATTTTCTTAGAAAGCAAACCAAAAAGCAAACTCTTCACTTTTGTTAGTAGGAAAATATTTTTAAATTTTAGTGAATATTTTAATTTTTTGATAACATTTTGGCCCAAATATTTTAACTTCTGAAAGACCAGCTAAGCATTTTTCTCATATTTTTCTTCTAAAAATAAACCCTGTACAATACTGAGATATTTGTATATACTTATAAAATTTCTAGGTAGAATATATCCCCTCAAAGAAAATGCAAAATGAAATGGGTAGAATCATTTTGAGTTTCCTGTGATCTGGGTATATCAAAGTCATTAATTCTTTTTTCTAACAACCCTAGGATCTCCTTTTATTATTCCCTAGGGAGGTTTGCTGGCTTACTCTAAAAATGCACATCTAAACAGACCCCAGTGAACACGTGCGGGCAACTGCAGAGTTTCGGGGATGGGCAGGTGGATAAAGACTATTGGTTTGTCACATTCTTAGAGATTCTCATGAAATCTTTTTATTTCATTGATTTATTTTTTAGGGTGTGTGCTGGTAACCATGGCATACCCGTGGAGGCTAGAGGACAACTTGCTGGAGTCCCTTCTATCATAGGGATTCTCAGTTTGAACATTTCTGA